TTTTTTTTTTTTAAGGCAGATCTTACTTTGTCACCTTCGGTAGAATAACATGGCATCATAGCTCACAGCAACCTCAAACTCTTGGGCTCAAGCAATTCTCCTGCTTCACCCTGCTGAGTAGCTGGGAGTTCAGGCACTTGCCACAACACCCAGCTATTTTTAGAGATGGGGTCTCGCTCTGGCTCAGGCTGGTCTCGAACTTGTGAGCTCAGGCAATCCTCCCACCTTGGCCTCTCAAGTGCTAGAATTTATAGGCATGAGCCACCAAGCCCAGCAAAAGAGCAGGGATTCTTATAAATAAATACAGTGCTACATAATACACAAGGCAAGGGATAGGAACAGATCCTAGTCATGTTTTACCTTCAAGTACTGTGTTCAGCATGCAGAAAAAGAAGAAAATCAATCAATAAAAATTAAATGTAAGGGATTACTCAAAAAAGGAATTTTTGAAGAAAGGATTCTATAGAACCTTGGGATCAATTCTAGATGATAAAATAAAAGAACCCAGACTGTCCAAACTACTAACTCCAAACTAATAAGACTAAGAAAATGCTCCAAACTCATAAAGAATGGCATGCATGGTGGAGCCTATGGCTCAGTGAGTAGAGCGCCAGCCCCATATACCGAGGGTGGTGGGTTTGAACCTGGCCCCAGCCAAACTGCAACAAAAAAATAAAATAAAATAAAATCTACCACAAATACAAAAATAAAATAAAATAAATAAAAAAGAATGGCATGCATGACAAGAAACAGAAAGTGGAGTGTTGGAGAGGGTTATAAGGCATACAATGAATTAGAAGAAATCTAAAAAAGCTTTGTGAAATTCACCTCCCACCCAGAAATGGGATACATTTCGTCTTACGCCCGTCCAAGGCAAAGAATATATTCTCCACTTCAAGTTTGAAAGGAAAGTGGTTCTTAGAATAGCTGTCTTCCTGTAGCAATCCCACAGCATCTATTATCCCCAAACTTTTCTTTCATTCTTCACTTACTTGCTTTAAATGTTTTTTCAGCTCTAATGATTCTGGTTCTGGCAGGATAGGTAGCACTTCTGCATTGGTAGGGGCAATTACCTATCAGAGTAATGATAAAAGACATGACCTTAGAATTTATTGCTTAGGAGTTTCACTTACATAAGGGCAAATCATTTTTAAAAAGGAAGATATATATTCAATATTATCATATACTGTGTATGTGAATATATACATTAAATACCTGTACATATAAAATATGTATACAAATATATGATCTACATATACATCTGAAAAGAAATAAATGTTATTTGTGATTATTTCCAGATAACAGGGTTATGGTTTTTGTTTTCTTCTTTACACTTATTTTTATTTTTTATAGTTTTACAACAAACATATCTAAGTTTGAATGTACTTGCACTGCAGAATATTAATATTAATTTTTAAGTCTATATTGCAAAACAGTTTCCTACTGGAAACTATACCTGAGGAAAACCATTAGGAGATAATGGTCCTGAAACCACAACTGCCCTACTGCTCCTGGAGGATGCAGGGCACTTAAGTGCTCTTAATTCTGGCAAAACTAAATCCTGTAATTCTTTTGAGTCCTAAAAAAGGCCTATTTAGCCAATAAATTAAACAGGATTAAAAAAATTATTTCAGGGCAGCGCCTGTGGCTCAAAAGGGTAGGGCGTCGGCTCCATATACCGGAGGTGGCGGGTTCAAACTCAGCCCCAGCCAAAAGAACATTATTTCAATACAGTTGCATAATAGAAATCATCCAATAACTTAGGACCTTCCTGAGAGTCATCTAGAAAAACAGATCACAGGATTAGGTCCTATCTACAGGGTCTAGAATGGGATTCTGCACCTTACAATGCCCTCAGCCAAGAACCTTACCCTATTACTGTCCAGATCCACTAGCCATACATCATCAGGCATTTTGAAGTCCAGTTTGTAGAGGAAGAAGCTGGCAGGGACCCCAATAATGTATGGGGTTGGAGCCAAGAGCAGCTGTGGAAAATGATAAAGAGGATAAGAAACAAAGACAAAATCTATCAGGAGCACTTATCGTGTCAGGACTTTTTCTAGATAAGAAAATGCAGCTTCACAATCACTCTTCCAAAATTCTTGAGGCCAGATATACTTCAAAATTTAGAATTTTTCAGATTTTTAAGGTAAGGTAATATGGTACATTTTATATATAAAGTAGTTCCTTTTTTTTTTTGAAACAAGAGTCTCACTTTGTCACCCTGGCATCATAGCTCACAGCAACCTGAAAATCTTGGCCTCAAGTGATCAATCCTCTTGCCTCAGCCTCCTAGTTAGATGGGACTACAGGCACCCACCACAATTCCAGCTATTTTTATTTTTTTATTTTCTTAGAGATAGGGTCTCACTTTTGCTCAGGCTGGTCTTGAACTCCTGAGCTCAAGCAATCCACCTGCCTCAGCCTCCCAAAGTTCTGGGATTACAGGCGCAGTAGTACCTTATTATCTATTGTTTTGCTTTTTGTGGTTTCAACTACCCAGAGTCAATCATGGTCCAAAAATAATAAATGGAAAATTTCAGAAATAAACAATTAATGGCTTGGCACCTGTAGCTCAGTGCATAAGATGCCAGCCACATACACTGAGGCTGGCAGGTTCAAGCCTGGCCCAGGACTGCTAAACAACAATGACACTGACAACTGCAACCAAAAAGTAGCCAGGCACTGTAGTGGGCACCTGTAGTCCCAGCTACTAGGAAGGCTAAGGGAAGAGAATCAATTAAGCCCAAGAGTTTGAGGTTGCTGTGAACTGTGACACAATGGTGCTGTATCCAGGGTGACATAGTGAGACTCTGTCTCAAAAACAAACAAACAATTCACAAGTTTTTTTCTCCCAGGGTAATAAAGAGAGATTTTATTTACAAAGAATGAGGAGAAAGTTTAGAGCACTTCCAAAGAGAGTTGGAAGTGCATCTCTCTTATGTTGGAGAGAAGGTGGGAGAGATGGACATGCAAGGGCCGTGCGGGGATATAAATACTCTCTCTGTAAAGTTCGACCAAGGCATGGTGGTAATCAAAAGCGAAAGCAAGGGAAACTGAAAATAAAACTGAAGCAGCTCAGGCAGTGTGGATTGAAGACAAAAGTAACCTACACAAGTTTCAGGGTAACAAACAGAGATTTTACTTAGGAAGAACAAAGAGAAAGTTTAGGGCACTTCCAAAGAGACTTGGAAGTGGGTCCCTCTCATGAAGGAGAGAAGGTGAAAAAGACCAATTCATGAGTTTTAAGCCATATGACACTCTGAGCAGCATGCTGAAGCCTCATACCATTCCACTCTGTCCCTCCTAGGATGAGAATCATTTCTTTGTCCATCACAGCTATGCTGTACATGCTACCCTCCAGTTAGTCACAGCTGTCTCAGTTATCACATCAACTGTTGCACTACCACAGTGCTTGTTGGTTCAAGTAACCCTTATTTTACTTAATAATAACACACAAGAGCTGTGAAGCTGACCATTTGGATATGCCAAAGAGAAGTTGTTATCCTCTTACTGGGCCTAATTTATAAATTAAACTTAATCATAGGTATGTAAATATAGGAAAAAAATAAAGCATGTATTAAGTTCAGTATTGTCCAGTTTCCGGAATCCATGGGAGGTCTTGGAACATATTCCCCACAGATAAAGATGGCGGTAATGTAGCCAAAAAGTCAAAAAGTGTATAATCATCAGCTGCGATAAATAAAAAGTACAAACAGGGGCGGCGCCTATGGCTCAAAAGGGTAGGGCACCAGCCCCATATGCTGGAGGTGGCAGGTTCAAACCCAGCTCTGGCGAAAAAGAAAACAAAACTACAAATAGCATAGGTTTTGCTCCAAGATCAGTTCAAATCAGTCAGATTTTACAGACAAATTAATTATGATAAGGTACTGAGGACCAACACTGACTTACTTCCCCCAGGAAGACAGAGGTTACAAAGCCAGAAGACACCTTGAGACTCACCTGCTCTGCTGATGCCATACAAGTGGGAAGCAGTGGGATAACAGGAAACATATATTCCAGGGGGTAGATCATTGCCACAAATGCCATCACAGACATGGAGAGTGCATTGTAGTCTCGGGACTGTAGTACCACCTGCCAAAAGCCATACCGTAAGTATCACTCAACAAACATAAAATAAGGTTTATAAGAAAACAGCTTCCAGGCTTGGCACCCATAGCTCAGTAGTTAGGGTACCAGCCACATGCATCAGGGCTGGAAGGTTCAAGCCTGGCCAGGGCCTGCTAAACAACAATGCCAACAATTACAAAAAAATAGCTGGGCATTGTGACGGGCTCCTATAGTCCCAGCTACTGGGAGGCTGAAGCAAGAGAATCACAAGCCCAAGAGTTTGAGGTTGCTATGAGCTGTGATGCCACGGCACTCTATCAAGGTCGACATAATAAGACTCTGTCTCAAAAAAAAAAAAAAATAATAAGAAAGAAAGAAAACAGCTTCCAATATTACAATTTAATTTCTATTTTGCCATGTCTATAGCTCCAGCTTGATTTCCACAATCATACTGCTCTATGCCCTACCATACCTGTCACCTCTCAACCCAAGCACTGCAGTAATCCTCCCTCAATTAACTCCCTTACATTCCCAGTTTTTTGCGGGTTTTTTTAGTTTATTTTTGTAGAGACAGTCTCACTTTATCACCCTCGGTAGAGTGCTGTGGCATCACAGCTCACAGCAACCTCCAACTCCTGGGCTTAGGTAATTCTCTTGCCTCAGCCTCCTGAGTAGCTGGGACTACAGGCGCCCACCACAATGCCCAGCTATTTTTTGTTGCAGTTTGGCCGGGCCGGGTTCGAACCTACCACCCTTAGTATATGGGGCCGGCACCCTACCCACTGAGCCACAGGCACCTCCCACCTTCCCAGTTTTTATGCTTTCCATTCCAGGACCACTCATTGCAACAGAACTACTATTATTCCAAAGAATCAGATCAGTATAATTAAGGATAATTCAGCTGAATGGTAAGCTTTGAATATATCTCACATGATACCAATGTCTTAATTTAACCCACATCTACCAAGTACCATACAAGTGGGAAGCAGTGGGATAATAGGAAACATACATTCCAGGAGGTAGGTCATTGCCACAAATACTTTGGCATCATCTTACTTCTTGAAGACAAGAATACAAAAAAAAAGCCCTGTCCTCAAAGAACTCATAGTCTAGCCTCTGCCATATTTCAAAGCTCTTTCTCTAGAAAGGTCTGTAAAGCTGGCCTCTCACCTTGTGCTCTAACAGGATGCAGGTAAGCACCTGAAGACAGGCATCCACACCCAGAAGTTCCAAGGGAAGGTGCAGTGGGAAATCCACTAGGGTGAATCGAGAGGGGTCTGGAAGCGCAAAGGTCAGAGCTGGCTGGAGCTCCTGGGGTAGGACCTCAATGTCTACTCGCTTCTGCCCCGAGACAGGTACTGGGGACCGCAATAATCTATAGATCCAGGCCTCAATCTCTCGAAGGTCATGCAGAAGGGCACTTGACTTTTCCTCCACTAGCAGTGATCCAGTAAAGATCCGCCACATGGTGTCCCTGAGGAGCAGACAGCAGGAATGAGACACACATCTGCAATAGAAGTAAACAGCCCAGTGCAACCCAATATAACCATGGACAGTATAATGATGCAAAGTGGGAAATTATTATGAAAGCCCACCCTTTGGATTGTGGGTTTTTTTTTTTTTTTTTTTTTTTATTTTGAGATAAAGTCTTGCTCTGCTACCCTGGGTAGAGTGCTGTTGTGCCATAGCTCACAGTAACTTCAAACTCTTGGGCTCAAGTGATTGATCCTGTTGCCTCAGCTCCTGAGTAGCTGGGACTACAGGTGACCACCACAAAACCCAGCTAGGAAAGTCTACTCTTTGAGTTCATATAAGACCAGAGGGTTTATACAAGGGCAAAGACAAGTATAACAATGTATATACAGTGGGACTTAACCATCCTGCCCACCATAAAACATCAAATTCCTCATCATTTCTCCAAACACAATTATGGTAGGAAGTCTATCTCTGCAGCAGTCTTTTGCTTAGTAAAGACTAACACAATAGGCTCGGCGCCTGTGGCTCAAGCGGCTAAGGCGCCAGCCACATACACCTAAGGTGGCGGGTTTGAATCCCCAGCCCGGGCCC